CATATGCATAGAATGAAAAAAGACAGTGGTTTGATAAACGTGATTCGGTGTATTATTTCCATGTTTAATTCAGTCGTAATAATAATAGGTTCTTATTATTCCTTAAACTGAGAATAGATGGCCAGCGAGAACTAGTGTATGTTTTACGTGCGGCGGTTGAAATCAACTCAGAAAAATCAGCGGTCGAACCGACGGCGATTCTTTTAGACAAGAGCGTATACTTGTTCCAGCTTGTGAATCTCGCCTTGGCGGGAGCTCCGGCGAGGGATTGGGATGTTCACCGGCTTCCGATTCGTTCGTATTTTGTGTTTGTCCTCGTACTAATTTCTCTCCGTCATCAGACGTCGTCATGGCATCCATCATGGCCACTCTGATCGCGACCGCCGCCACGACGCTCATCGTGGTCTCCGTGAAAAGTGTCATGATTATCATCCTCATCATTATCTCTTCTTCTCGTCCGAAAACTATCATCGTTTCCATTTCAGTCACACTATCTATGAATCATCAGTCATGCATCATCGCCATTACGTTATCGTGATCATCGTTCTCGAATGGGGCTCTCGACCCGGGCCGACCCATCTCGGCGCGGGTTCGCGGAACCAAACATAGTCCACAAGTTGTAGCAGCTTCATTACAATCATCATTCATCTCATCGATCAATTACCTTATCAGACACGCACATTTCCGGTATTTTATACAAGAACCATATTTTACAAGTGCTCCAAGTATTAACATCAGTTGGGTTTGTTGTCGCATCACCGATACAGACGGACGCGTCTCCGTCTCTCTCGATCTCTTTCTCTCGATATCGGCCAGAGAACTTCATTATATCCCTTACCTAAAATTATAATATGGTTAAACACCCTGTATGTCGTTGCTTTTACTGGATTCCCATGTTGCGACGTTGTATTCGGGTCTCTTCGGCTCGAGCTGCGTCGAGACGTGATTTCTTTTCTTATTGAAATTCTCAATGGAATTCCTTCGCTCTCGAGCTTTCCGCCTCGCTCTCAAACCGTTGATACGATCGCTTCCGCGACAACGTCATGCTGCAACCGGGTAGAAAGCAAGCCCAAGACCCGAAGGACGACTCCAAACTCGCGATTGGTACCCAAACAATTTCGACGTTTTTTTTTCTTGCACATTTGCATGTCCGACACTTGAGTCGGTGTTGGTTTTTGAATTTTTCTCTGGATTCTGCTCGTTTGTTCGCTCCAAAAAATACGAAGGTCGATGGTGAGCGGAATTTTCAAACAAATCGAAATTTATCGGTATCGGTAGGTTGTCCGTCCAAGTTTACCTACAGATATCTAGCATCGTATGAGGGGATCTTCTTCCAGCTCGTTGACTGTCAGAGTCTCGGAAGGTAATGCCGACCATGTAATGATGATGGTCGCTGTAAGATCTTTGGCCCGACTTGAGTTGGATGTTATGTTTCTCGACAGATCTCGGAAAATCCTCGAAAAATTACGCCTCTTGTCGCTGATGCTCCCTAATTCGGCCTGATAGGTAGTTCTCAACGGATGCCTCGGACTGCTCCAGAGGACTCCGGCGAACCTTGCCGGCATCAGCTTAACAAATTTCCCAATCTCATTGCCGACGTCAGAGATTCCCGTAACGGTGCCTAGTATCTGCCCAAATCGCGAATTCAAAAATTGTTCTCGGATTCAAGAAATTCTCGTCTTTATTCCAATTCCATTTTTTCGCCATCGATGTCGTAATGATAATAATGATAGGTAATGGGTTCTCCCAGAGCCACAATGACGGTGCTCGAAATCGAAGAAAAGACCCGCCAAGCGGAGTTACCGAACACCATCGGCCTCGACGATACGAACAGCGACTGTCTCGGCCTTGTATATACAAACACACTTTCAGCAAAATTCAGATGGCATCGATTCCCGGAGATCCGCAGGAGCCGATAAGTCAGACTCGGGACGCATTCATGAGGTAATTGATTTTGGAGAGAAGCGGCCACCTTCCGGCGGACCGGAATGCCAAAAGTTCTTGATGCAAGACTTATCCATTATCGTGATCATTATTATCATTCCACCGATGCGGCAATTTCGCTACAAGAGTCGAAAAGTTCTCTGAAATTCGCTTCTGCTTACTTTCCCACTAGAGCTCTAAGATTTTCCGTTGGTCGTCAATGTAGCCGTCGATGAGCGAACGAAATGGATTGGAGGAACAGCCTGCAGGAGAACGCTCTATCGTTCAATAGCGTCGCTCTCCCCGATCGTATGCTTATCATCATCGCCAGCACAGTCGACGCGTCTTGGACAGCAATCATGGTCATCAGCACTATCGAATGTTTGCTCATTTTCGTACAAACCTCAATTTTCGCAGAGGGTCTTACTTCCTTTGTTTGAAAACCCTCGGAAGGAAAATGTCTTACATATCATCAACCGACGAGTCAATCAATCAATCGATTGACCGACCGACCGATCGATCGAGTTAGCCACCCTTGTCACGCCCGCGCGTCAATCGATTGCGTTCAGTCAATGGTGTGTCGCGAATATCATTTGTTTTGTTCTAGAATTGTTACACATCGCCTCGACGCTTCTTCAACTAATCCAAAATACGTATGCGCCTCTGACGTACGACACGTCACAGAGGATCTCGAATGCTTTGATTCCAAGTACGTATATCTGGAACAGGACCCTTTAGAAGGGGGGCCGAAGTATATTCGCCGGTCGCAAGGCAACCGAGCACACACGTGCAAGTTTCTTCCCCCCGAACTCCTCTCCACAATCAATTCCGGAATTTCCGAACTATCGCTCAGCGAGGCCGTATGGCTTACTTATTGTTGTACATGTGAAGAAGAATCTTCCCACGAGCGAAGCCCAGGTCGCGGCCCCGTCTTCCACGGTTCCCCGCTCCCGATCGAGCCTTCCAAGAGGGAACAACGCTTCAGAAGAACGATTCCCGTTCCTGGTGAGAGATTCCTCCGCTGAGATGCGTCTGCGTTCCGGCGGGCGGACCCGCTTCTTGTGGAGTAGAGGGTATAGAGGAGGAGATGACGAAAAAAACTCGCAATTGGTAAACTTGTAGTTACAACCTATGTACAAACTATGATATATCTCTGGGATGATGTTGAGCGAATCGGCGTCGTCCAACGGCAACAAAGCATGTTCCTTTGAGATGGGAGTAGTTCCAGCGGGAGTCTTGTCGGATGACGAGTTCAATTTGATCTGGTCGCTCGTCATTCGCTCTCCCACTTTCAACTCATCTGAATCTTTCATTTTCTCTCTCTCTCTCTCTCAAGTAGTGGTATCCTGCATGTGGGTTTGGCGAAGTCATGTGGCAAGAATTGATTCTCCATTGACTCCGCCGTCGTCGTCGTCGTTGCCGATAACTTGAGGCTTTTCTGAGTTCGTCTCTTTTCTCCTCTCGCATTTTCCCTATAGACACGAGCTCTCCTTCGGAGGGTCTCATTCATTCTTGGTCATCATCATCATCTAGAATATTCCTCGTTGTTTTGTTGTTGTTGGTGATTTTTACTCCTACTTGTGGATCGTGTCTTTCTGTATTCTTATCGAACTTTGTTGTTTCATGTCTGCTGATTCTGTCTCTCCTCCGCTCAAATAACACAACCAAACATTTACAGAATGTACAAACATAAATCTCGTCTCTATTGGCGGACTCATATGCGAGGGCGACGGTCGCGTCGGGTACGTACATCGACCGGAAAATCCGGAGAGCTGTCTCCCCAATAAGACAGCTCTGGCAGTTTCTTGAACCACCGTGCTCAGAGATTTCGCGGTACGACGATTTTCGTCCGATACACAGAACCTGGTCGCCCACAAAGCAAATGGCCTTTCCGCTGTTTCGTTGTTTCACTCAATCATTTTTCTCGAACCTTTCGCGTTCATCCTCGACACGATGCTCTCCAACCGTTTACTTTGGAAATTCTTCTCGACGGTACGGAACCGAAAGCTGCAGGAGCAGTGCCGTACTGTCCGTGCGGCGTCGAAGCCGTGATGTTGCTGTTCATGTTGTTCTGTGGTTGGTGTTGTTCTCATTGTTTGTGGATTTGAACTCTGTCCGTGTTCTCAACTCGAACTGAAGGAATGCGCCGACACCCAATCTGGAGTCACGAGTCAATTTCTAAAGATGGTGCGATCCGTATTCTTAGAATTCATTCGATTCGGTTCCATCACGAAAAGAAATTTTGATTGTCAAAAACGGAAATCTGAATTTACAATGACAGACGGGGGAAATTTGTTAGATTCTCACGGATAAAACGGAGCTACCCTCCCCCAGAACAAGGAGGATCCTCGATTATGGACTTCTAATTTTCCGTTTCAAATTGCAACCATTTCCCCGCTAGGGGTAGGGGTGAGCTGGATCGGAGCTTCTCTCAGCGTCGGCTGATTGAATGTTGTGGACCCGATCCGATTACGCTGGATCGAGCGTGTTGTTCTCAATGTTCGATATTCGATGTTGTACCGTGGATAGCCCGTCCAGCCAAGAACCTCAATGAACATCACAATGAAACCGTCATGATTCGTGCGAAGCCGATGGTCTCTCTCTATGGTCATACGTAAACGGGTTGGCGTCATCATGTCGAGGTAAGACCCTCGCTTGAAAAAGCTGGGCTTTGAATCATCTGGTCTAACTGACCGTGGACCAGACTGATCATACGCGATATGGATCGAGTTATGCGAGGCATTCATGAACGGGACAAAATCGAGAACTACGTCATTATCGAAAACAAGCTTTGGCTTCGGCTGACGGATCGTGATGCTGTCGAGGCTGGAGGTCTTTCTGTGTTCCTCAGTTCCCAAACCACCCCATGTCGATGTGCGTTTTGGAATCAGTCTGTACCCGCTCCAATTGTGTATTCGGTGTGTCTCAGTGCGAATTTAGTTTTGCGCAAGTGAATTTCGCGGCTCATCTCTCTTCATACGGATTCGATCAAATCTTATTTTCGGAAATCAGATTCCATTCGGTAGGTATCTTCGCTCTCTCTATCGTGTTTGATTGTGTGTGTTCGATATCTCGGTTCAATTCCGACCGTTGTAGTCGGTAGGTGGTGGCCAGTTGAAGATTTTCTTCTTCTTGTTCTTCTTCAATCTCATCATCAGTTCAGGTTCGTTCTGTATTATCGTCAGGAAATTCAACTATACGTAACTCTATGCGCAGAGCATTCTGCTAGTTCTGGTTTCTTGTTTTCGCAACAATCCGCGAGTGCTGGGCTGAGTCTGCAGTTCGCGGCGCAGCAGCCATTTTCATGTGGTCGAAATCGCAGATGTTGCTTGCAGTACTTGCTGTAGACGTGGTCGTTGTTGGTAGTCTTGTTGAATCGTGGAATCCGATGTAGCTGATCATAGGAACAGGTTGGGAAGTGTTGTCACCGATGGTAGACGTACAGCGGAGGTTGGTCACAGCTGATCGCTGAGCCTCCTGGATGGTAACGCAGACTACTGCTAGGTGACACAGGGCGGTTTGTTGATGTTAACGTTGATTGTTGCAGCTGTACTCGGGGAACAAACACAGAGGACATCGGCAGAACTTCGGTAAAAGAAGAACCTCGGAGGCGCTTCAAGTCACTGCAGCGGCTCTGCAGGCACAACTAGAGGAGTGGCGAACGTTCGATTTCTTTATGTGTGTAAAGATGTGGGTTCAAATACAGTGAATGAAATGGAGTTTCGAATGAACCAGCAGCACCTAGTGAAGGAAACTGCGCGGAACAGACCAGCCGTCCACCGCGCGAACAAGCGAATGCCCTCGCGGATTCTGGCTGGCGCTGATCTCCGTCGCAGTGTTTGTAGTTGTTGATGTAGTAGTTGTTTAAAAACCGGTCCTCACTGAGCAGTGCTATCCTTTCCCCAGACTGTAGGAACAATCTCCAGTCTAAAACAGTGGGAACTGCAATGAGAGAAGGAAGAATCGTTAGTTATTGCGCGATCTGTAGGAACGCAACATCGAATACCTAAGTCTCCCGATCTCTACCGGCGCTCGAACTCCGAATCTCGATCTGGATTCCTCAAATAATTGAGCCACTAGGCGACACGAGGCTCGCGATGCCGAGTACCGAGAGGCAATGGTGGAGAGAAGGTAAAACTGACGGACCAATTGTGGGAAGCGAGAATCGGAATGAGAAGAATCAAAGGACGAAGGAAATTGTCAAGAGGAAGCTTCGCAGGGATAATCCTCTCGGAAGTTTGTCTGTTTGTCAAAGCAAAGAGGATAACATTCGTTAACTACGCGAGAACGAAAACACCCAAGAAAAAAATGACAACGAACTAAGGGCGACTCGCTGCGTCAACCAATGACACGACGGACGGGCCAATGACTCCGATGCCCATGTAGAACCAGAAAGGGATTTGGGGCTCCTCGAGAGTTATTTAAGGTGAGAGTACCAAAGAGTTCCTATTCGCTCTCGTTCGTGCGCAGAGCAGAGAGGACACCGGCACCACCTGTTCGCGTGCGAGGAGCCTCTCGAGCCTCGAAAATTCAGCTTCGGAAAGTCTTTAAGCCGTTACTTGTTAATCTTCAATGTTTGATGGTTGGTCACCGAGCTGCGCTATCTCGATATCTCGTCCAGACGGCTAGCTTTAAATATTTAACCCAGAGAAAAATAATCGACGACCTCGAATGAGACGTTGCGTGATGTGCTCGCTTAATTCATCCCCGATTTCTATTAGAGCCTCGGGAGGAGGAGAAGACGACGACGAGGAAGAGGCAAGAGAAAGTCGGCAGGCAGGCAGGCAGGCGAGCTCCAGCCCTTTGCCAATAAAGGCTTACCACGCCCACCAAGATAACTTCAAACTTTTTCGGACTTTTGAAAGTAATGAAGAAATCGCCAGCTATTCTCGCTTTAGCCCGGCACGGAACAGGAGGAGAGCGAGGTGAAAGAGAACAGCGAGGGGAATTTCGGGGACAAGCATCCACGGAAAAGAATGAGAGATCTTCTGAATTTTATGAGAAGCCTGGAGGCGTGTCCGTCCCGGCGGTCATAACACCGCATGTCCAACCACCGTCAGGTCGGTGGCTCGGAACCCCCTCCCCCTCTCGAATCCGGGGTCTCGGCGAATCTCAGAAGTTGAGAAGAACTTCAGGGAGGAGTGTTCATACTGCCGCATGTCGAGAAAAACAATGAGGGGAAGATCGAGTCGGAGATGAGACCAGGTGAGCCAGCTGAAGACCTGTATTAGTTTACGGGGTAAGAACTTAATTATCTAATCCAGGGCGCTCACGCAAACGACTCGACGCCTCTGGAGCCGCGTCTTCATTTTTGATAGCTCTGAGATTTTCCTTCAGATTTTTCCCGGGGATCGCCCGCCTGATTCTTCCAAAAAAGTTCCTTTTCGCCACAGTGCGCGAGGACGCAAGGGGCTTCCCGCCATGCATCTACGGCATAGCCATCGTATCTCTGAGTGCCATATGTGCCTCTCCGTCTCGTCGTTCTTACCTGTGATTGCACTGCATTGGCTGCGGCCATTGATGTTGAATAATCTCCATTTCCAGTGGCGCCGTTCATGCCCATTGCATACATAGCATCTGGCGGGGGTGGACTTATCATCTGCCCTTGCTGGCCACCGTACGCCGACGCTCCAGCCGCTGGAAAAGAATTCCATGATTAGATCAACCTTCGCCAGGGGTCGTGAAAATTATTTCGAAGAGAAACTGAGACCGGAGACTCTCTCGCATTCCACAAGGAGTCGAGACAACTTTGGCTGGAACCTTATTGCTAAATGAGCTTCATAGTCCGCTGATTCGGTCGGGGTTTCGAGTAAAGGCCACTTTAGCAAATCAGGAAATTCTCCTCGGAGGCAGCCCTATCCTCGATGCTGCGGTAATTGTTGTCGTCGTGGTCGCGGTCGTCATATCTAGAAAGTGGTCGTTGCGGATAGATGCCTCATTGCATCGACCGACCGCAGAATCGACCGGGGGAGTAGATTAGCTGATGAAGCGGATGGCTTTCGCCGATTTTTTGATCTTTTAAGCGAACAGAGTCCGTCCTCCTCCGACTGGTCGCTGGTTCGTTCCCTCGCTGGCTCGTCCGCTCGGTCTGGTTGACTGGCTCATTTGGCGTAATGTCTCAAATGAAGCAGAAACCTCACGACGATGCCGACAGCCAAAAGAAGGACGAGGGAAAGGCGAAAAACGAGTGGGGAAAATCGAGGACGACCGCCGAGGGGCCAAGCCGACCCGTCGGATGAGCCAGCCAGTTAGCCCAGTGAGCGAGTGAGCGAGCGGGTGAGAAGGCAAGCGAGCGAGCAAGCAAGCCGAATTACATCTTGCCAAGAAGACGATGACAACGTCGGACAAGACGAGAATCTTCACTGGAAGCTCAATTACACTTATTAAACTGTTCTGTCGTCCCCCGGACCCCATCCAAGCCGTTACGAGCAGAGTTCTTGTCCTATTCGGTGTCGTTACCGACACTCGCGGCGCTCGCCATCCCAGTAATGATCTCCGGACGAAGCCACTCATCAGCGTATACCCGAACCCGGTAATCCAGTCATTGATTTTTTCCTCCTGTTGATTCACTGGGCTCCAATCGATGATAATTATTGTAACTGTTCAATCATCCGGTCCGAGGGAACAGGAATTCAGAAAGTTCCGCGGACCCCGATCCTCGGGAAACAGTCACCGTGTCGACGACAAATCGACCAAGACGACCTTCGGAGTGCTGACTCAATTTCTTAATGTACTACGAGCGGGAAGTCAAAGAACGGGGATTTTTTTTTCTGGTTTTTCCGAATCAGAGAGAGAGAGCTTTCCGAGTTGGCCAATTATTAGATCTCGTTTGCCGACCCTGCGGCAGACGCGGGAACAGCGGCGATCTGCTCGTTGAGCTGAAGGTTTTGCTCCGTTCTCCTTTTTCTTCTCCCGTCTCTGCTCCAGGAGGTAGGCCCAATTCAGAGGGACGATCCGTCATCCCTGCGTTCCTCCTTTTTCTCGTTTCTACGTCTCGTCCAATCGCCTAAGTGGCTGCTGCAGGGGCCAGCTTACTGCCTCACTTGGTGGCAGGCAGGCAGGCTGGATGGCTGGCTGTCCGGTTGCTTGCTCGCTAGCTCGCAGGCCGTCCGGCTGATCGACCGCTTTGACGGGTTGCGCTCAGGATCGTACACAAGCCAGTCCGAGGGCTCAGATTCCCATGGGCATCCGGCGCATGAACTGGAATTGCCAGATTTTCCGGACGAAACATCATTGAGCTCCAGCCCAGCGGCCCAGAGCTCGGAGACCCTCACGAAGCGACAGAAACAAGTGGATCCGAGGAGAAGTAACGAAAGAGTTACTCCCAAAATGCCAGACGACCCGCCTCCGAATAATCTTTGGAGTGTTCCGGGAAAGCATTCTCCTCTGTCGGCTTCCCTCGAAACACTCCTGGCCTCCAAGCGCCGCGCCGATGGCTAGGGGATCGCTTGAAGAGGGCGAGACGGGTACGCTCCGGCAAAAGGCGGAAAAAAACCTCGCCGAGACTTCTGCATTAGGCTAACAAGACACAGCCGCCACAAAAGGTTCTATGAAAAAAAAATGAGGATATTGCACTTCACACTCCGAGGACGGCGGCTTCTTCCACTTTTGTTCGCCACAAAAGATCTTCTCGAAAATAGCTCCCGGGACAAGGAGCAGGAGAAGAAGGTAGGTAGTAGCGAAGTTGCGAGGCTTCCCTTCTACGGCTGAGCATCGCTCGTGTCGTTCTGTTTCAAACTCGTGTTCTCGCCGCCGCTGCAGGAACTCGGACGGAACTCAATAATAGACAGCGGAGGGAAGAAAACTGCTACAAAGTTCCTCTCTTCTGGCATGAAAGTATGCGTAATAGCTCCGACGATACTTTTACAGTGCGGTCATAGATCTTCGTCTGATGAATGGACTGTTGAGTGGCAGCCAGCGCTCTTCGTTATTCTGTGGGCGTCTGTCACGACCGCCGGACCATCAGGAACAGCTGTTTCTGTATCGAATCATCTCTGGTCGAATCATTGTCCGAGTGGCGATTTCCATAGATCACTTTCGCGGGCGCCGGAAGCATTCCCGAGAATCCCGAATTCCTCTCGAGAATTTCAGAGTTGTGAATGTGAATTTTCCGGGAAATCTCAAATCGCCCCGAGGCTCTCCCGAGACATATCCATCGCTCGGAAATAATTCGTAGACTTCCGTATGTCCACTCGTATGAGATGGTGTCCGACGATTCTTCATGGTGTCCGTCACTCCTCTCATTGAGAGGAAACGCGTATTGGCGGTGCGGCAGCTGCGTGTGTGCATACTCGTCGTAATGTATCTCATGCTCATTCGTTGTTTGTTAGAGCCGATGTCGTCGCTGCTGCTGCTGTTGATGTTGTTGTCATTAACACGGTGGTTGTGGCGTCTACGAAGCCAGCGAATGAAACAAACAGCAGACGAACGGACGAACCATTTTTCATCCTGTGGTTACCAAACACACGACGGGGAGCCTCCCGACGTGCTCGACGCTGCCGCCACCGTTGGGACTCTGACGCTGCTCGCTGCACGGAATTGCCGAAGAAAAAGAAGATGAAAACCGGGTGGGGGGCTGGGATTGAACAACGACATCGGCGGCGGTAACAACAATATTTTTTTGTTCATTCCGGGAACGCCGAAGATCCGCAACAGAAGGTCGAACAAAAGCCGACCAGTGACGGCTGCTCGGCAGAAGAAAATGAAGAGCGCTTCAAAGAAGCGGATGATGTTGTCGTTGTCGCTCTCCAGTCAGTCACTCGTTGACTCGGTCGAGCAGACCAAGAAGCAAACAAAGGGATGCATCACACGAACAACGACAACAGCGACAACATCGGTGTTCCTGCGCACAAGATCAATTTGAACGAGGAAAAAATCATTTTCTCGTGTTCTCGAGACCTCATTCAATCCATGTGGGAACCGCATCGACCCGCTTCTACGAGGCATGAGTAGGTATCCGACTTCTGCCATCGGAGCTTTTCCTCGTTGCCGTTTCGAAGCCTGCGCGACAAGATTCGCAGCAGGACCCCTCCAGCCTCGGGCGCGGGGAAGCTCGAAGTGGGGACCGTCAAGAAATTAGAAACGTGCATCTGGATCGCCAGGGTTCTGATCCGGACGGCTCTGACGGCTCTGGACTCCGCTGGATACGATCGCGGCATCGGGTCAGTCAGACGGAGGCGGGTTTTCCTGATTCGGTCGCTCGAGCTGCGTTCTGTGCACGAAGGAAGAGAGACCGAGCTTCTCCTCTCCGTGTTCTTCGTAATGCCGATGCCGCTTCTAACTGGCGTTCATGTCAATCAACGACTCCGTCCGTCATGTTGTCAGTCAGTCAGTCAGTCAGAATGACGGGCGTTTCGTCCGGAACCGCGACGAAGCATCAAGCAAAGAGCAAGCGAGCTAATCTCTATCATCACGAACCGTTGCTGTAGCGAACAAATTGGCTCTTGAGGAAAGTATTCAGGGAAGGCTTCACACGGGAAGCTCTCAGTCAGCGTCGGGAATTTCCCGATCTTCTGGATATACCTCCCGAGGAAAAATCCGTATCGAGCTTGAGACTCGGTCCGTGCTACCTCGGACGCGCTTGCCACCTGGGCATCAGGCCGGGGTTCGAAAGTGGCGAACGCGCAGTGGACACACAACGAGTCACGAGTGTATGTTATGAAAGGACCACTGGGAGAGGCATTGTAAATCACGCCACAGCTGAGAGCAATTATCCACTACTGGCTCCTCGACTTCATCGTCCCGCCATCTAGGATGGGCACCCGGGTGGGCGAACAGTCGAACGAGCGAGCGAGCGGACGGGCCGGCAGTCGAGTCGACTCAGTCATTCAGTAAGTCATTCAGCGAGTTCCAGTCTCTAAGGACAAAAACCTACCGATAATCGAAAAAGGACCACCACCATCTCTGCTTGTGCTGGTGGCGGTGAAACGATCGCCGATCCTCGTAGCCCTCGGCTCCTCGTCGTCGTCGTCCTTCTCCCGGTATCTCCTCTCAAATTGAGCGACGACGCCTCGGGCTACGGGCTAACCAACGCTGATTTACTTTCTCAACTTGGCCCCGGTCGGACAGAGGTTAAACTTCGGAGAACCGCGGTTGGTTGTGTGCTCGGGGCAAATCCTGTTCCCCTCACTCCACAGAAGCCGGGGCCGCATTTTGATAGCCGCGGCTGGAGCAAGTATGAGATGAGCTAGAATTTGTCGTTTCCACTTTGTCGACATTTTGTATTGGTCGGCCGGGGGGCTCGGGCTTTCAACAGAGACTCGAAGGTTTCCTCCGAAACTGGGGACTCGCAGGACAGGGGATTTCGGAGCTCCGAAGCGGAGGAGCTGACCAGCTTCCATGCGTTTGTCCCTCTCACGTTGAAGGTATGCACCCATCGATTCGATGTGACGCGAGTCAGAAATTGCGGGTTGAAAATTCCACTACTAGTGGAAACTGATCTCGGAGATATCCAGATTGTCGAAAACGCTCGCGATGCGACGCGGCGTCGTCGAACCACATGGATGCACGGAGACGAGATGGAGGAGCTTACGAGGAACGAACGATAGACCGACTCGAAGAGACTCGACCGATCCAACGGCGGATAGATCAGACCGATATGTCGGTGGGTCCGTCCACTCGTCCGCCGTCGCTATAGCGGTTATCTGTGGATGGCACGGACGGACATACACCACAATGGTTGCGTGATTAACTCAGCTCTTTCGTTGTTCGTATCTCTTTTTGTTCGTATCTTTTCGCCTCTTCTATGGTCCATCGACGTGGTCCCCCGTTCTCGTCTATAGCTGCTGCTGCTGCTCTCTCTGCAATTGGCAAGCAATAATAATGATGACGATGATCTTAGCAAGCAGCCGAGCGACCGACTGCCGCCATCGCCATTTTCCTCTCATTGCTTTCTCATGGTCTTTAGTACCATGGGTCCGGCAGCGGCGGGCACAGCATTCAGACCGGAAGGCTGTTTCCAATTGCCTCAATCTCAGACAACAACGGGAAGACGATGCCAATAGGAACGTATGAGAGCTCACCGTACAGCAGCAGCAGCCACCGGAGCTGCGCCACCTGCATAAGAAAATGACGGAGGCTCCACGTAGGTATCAGTAGATTAAGGGGATTACATCGTTCTACGTCGTCGTCACCGTTGTGGATTTCTCTCGCAAGCCATAAGCCCGTGAAAACGACGACGACGACGACCACGGTGTCGGTGGCGACGGCGGCGGTGGATGAGCTCCGACTTCGGAACGGGCGAGAGGGACGACAGCGGAGACAGTTTGGTAAACGACGACAAAATGTTCTCCTCTTCTTTCACAGGAGGGTGTGCTCCTAACCGTCATCCCGGTCGACGCTGGCGGTAGCGAGGCAAATTTCTTGCGAACAGACAAGATCGAAGTCGAAGGGGAGTGCTTTTGCCTCGCCGAGGCACCAGCCGATGGCGGTCGTGGTGGTGCCACCAGCGGCAGGCAAGCGACAAATGAAATTAGTGTCAAATGTGTCATATTACTCGTAATTCCTTCTCTCCTGGCGTCGTCGCTGCAAAAAGGAACGACGAACCCTTGGAGGGAGACGGCGGCGGCGACGACGACGACACTTGGAGGGCCACTTCACATCCACTTTGCATTCGTGGGCTAGTCAGCTAGTTTGCCTCGCAGCAGCCAGTCGTGTCGTTCGTTCCTTGCTCTCGTGGCAAGGTTTCCTTCGCACCTTCGCGAACTGAGCGAGTTGTCTGGCTAGCGGAGGCTCGGCTGGCATCCCTCGCTCCGGATAGGAGAACCCGCAGAGGAGGTAATCCTGCTCCGTGTGATTCATGCGTAATCAATCAGGATAAAGGTGCAACGTCGTCCTGCTCGTCGCCGTCGTCGTCGTTCGCAGTTCCTCTGTCCAGAGGGTTAGCCCGCTTCATGCGGCGGCGGCTGCTATGGAGCACTGACCGGAGCGGGAACCCTGAGGCTCCGATATTTTTCGCTGTCATCGTTGTTCGCATACTGCACGTTGTTTTTTTCGTTTACGGAGCCATCCGTGATAATTTTTGAAGCTTCTCCGAGGTTTCTCGCGGAGCGCGGAGTATTGTGGGCGAACGCCGAATGCGAGGAATATTGGCGAGCGGTCTGCCGTACGATCGGTCGCCTAGGCGCCCGGACGGTCAGTCGGGGAAGCGGACGGTCAGTCGGGGAAGCGGACGTCAGACCGAGCCCCCGTCGAATAAGGGCGGTATAAGAATGAGCGACAGAGCTGATCTCCGGACCCGAGAGAGACGACTGAGGAGAAGTTGGACGAGTTGAAGAATTTTTATTGCTGGACATATGATAGCCGTCCGCCCGCCCGCCCGCTGGCCCGATTGGACAGTGGACAAAGACCGCCGGGTACCTCGCTGTTGTGCAGGTATGCCGCTGATATATTGAGCTCATATCCGAGCGAATTCCTAAAACATTTCTTAGCCCAGAGTCCACTCGTCGTTGGCCCCGGACACGGTCGTCAGCTGCTCCTGCTGTTCGGCCACCACCATCTCCTCCTCACCACCTGATAGGAGATCAGCTGATGCGAAGTGACAGGTCAATTATGTCCCGTGTTTTTCCCCTCTGACAAAGACTCCGACGAAAGCGACAACAACGGAAGCGGGGACAACAACGATGAATACGGGGCGGACATCGATTCGTTCGGAAGGAGCCGGGCTTCGGAATCGGAGAATTTCCGAATGGCACGCTCCCTGCAGGGGATTAAGTATGGCGTCAGAGTACTCACCCTTCTTTGCCGCATACAGGTTAGCCTCCTCTTGAGCTTTTCCTATGTTCTTCTTGTATCGTATTCTCTTGTTACCAAACCAGTTAGACACCTGCGGAGGGAATCGAGAATTAAATCGTTGTACAAGGAGATGATGCCACGGAGTCGAGGAGAACAATCGAGCCCAAATTCGGTTCAGGAGTCCTGGGCCAGGACTCAAAGGAATCTTCTATCCCGCGAGTCGCGGCCGAAATCTCAGACTTTTCTTCGTCGTAGAGAGCGGTATTCTCGGCGAGCAGTCTCGGTAACGGAGGAGAGAAACAAAGCATGGAGAGAGCGACGCTGCGGTAGCGAAAGAAGGCATTTCCGAGGCAGCTCGCGAATTTATCATAACCTGTCGCCCGCTCGCGCCATCTCTGTCGAACTAAAACGAAACGGCGGAGTACTCGGCGCGACTTTGAAAATGATAAAAAATTACTTCATTTCTCTGACATGCCGGGAAGGAGCTAGCTCGAGCCCGCCAATCGGGAGGGAGGGAGTTTCGACTGCGAGAGACGAAGCCACTGGGAGAAAAAGAGAGAACCGACTGAAATAAAGAGGAGAATCCGCAGAATACACTCAACGCGCTTCGTTCATGTGGTCGCGGCGGTGTTCGGCTGTATTCTCGTCGTCGGCTTCCAATCTGCCTCCGAGCTCGCCTGTAGATTCTCGGCTGGAGGGGTGACCCGCAAAGCTCCCCCGTCCCGCCTCCCCTATCGTCGGCCTGCTCGCTCACAATCAAAATAATGGCAAAATTATCCCGATCAAAAATTCATATCTACCTATTATCATTCAAATTCAGAGCTTTTTCGACGGGCATCTCTCGGCGACCCCCCGTGAACCCCTCGTACCCACGAGCCAGCTAGTCAGTCAGTCAGTCAAGCAGTCCGGAGCGGCGGCAGCGTTTCCCAATACGAAGCCACGGGTCTCATGCAAATGCGAATTAAGGTGACTTTTGCTGCTAATCTCTGAATATGATAATGTCAATGGGCCTCGAATGAATGGTAATCACCATATGAATAATACCTCGGCTCTTCTCGCCTGCTTTCAGCGAGCTGGCTCATGGCGACCCGGGCGAGAAAGGGATCCGGACGAGCAGAAGCCAGCTCGCGTGCGCGCATACAAACGTGCGGAGGAGCGCGCTGACATGTTGCTCGTCACATTGAATGCGTGTTGTAAAGCACGTAATGAATAGTTTCGTCGGTGGCTGGCTCGAAAGCTCAGCGGCGCTCAGGTGCTCACTTCGGCAGGCACCTCATCACGAAAAATGGAAACTCGAACGAGTCGTGAGGCTCGAGACCATGAATATTATTCCGCGCGTGGAGGTCGGGGTCCCTTTTCTCGGGAGGACATCGACACTGAATACTAAACGAATCTCGCGGAACATCTTTGGGACATTTTCGGGAAATCACTGTACCTGAGAGACGGTAATTCCGCATTTCCTGGCAAGCTCTTCCTTGGCCTCTTCACTTGGGTATGGGTTGCTAAGGTGCGAGTAGAAATATTCATTTAGGATCTCTGTCGCCTGCTTGCTGAAATTACGACGTTTTCTCCTGGAATTTGAAGAGAAATAATACACGTTAGTCTCGATCAGTCCGTCACGGGTCACGAGGAATCTCCGCTAAGTACCTAATGCTCGAGAACATTATTCCTTTCTCGTACACGAAATCAACAAACTCCGAATCATGCAGCCCGGTCCCACATCAAGTGGCTCATCCATCTCGGTGGGATGCTCGAGTTTTACAAGGGCTCCGACCTCCCGCATTCGCTCGCTAGCCGAGTGTGTAACTCGATGAATGCCTGGTCCAAAAACTAAAAAAAATCTCAAGGAAAAAATCAAGGAAAAGAAATCTTGCTAAGATTGACTCCGGCTGAGACAGCGGCTGGCGTTTTATAAATGAGCGCCGACTTCATTATTAAATTTCTTCCCCGCCCAGTCCCCTCGGCCCGTGGCCGCCACCACTCTCATTTGGCTCAAGCCATGATCCTCCTTCGAGACTGCTGGTGCTGCTGCTGCTGCAACTGCTGGAGTCGAAAGGCTGAACCCTTTCATAATTATATAGTGCCTGTTTACTCGCGTTCTTGGCCGGCGAGCCTCCTTGGTTTTTTTCTCCTCAGGCGAGGGCGGCCGATAATCGTTGCGAATGGGGATCTCTCACGAAGTCGACGGGGGGAAGCCGAGTGCGGAGATCATATTTTATGACTCTATCCACTTGCTTGGCCGCTCGTTCGCATTCGCTAACGTTCTTTTTTGTTTACCGCTTTAATGCTGACCACCGAGTGGTAACAGTCAGGCGTGCTGATTGGGGTGCTTCCCGCTGTATCGAATGAGCCCTGATTTGAGAAGGGTTTCCGTTCCGGGATCAGAGGAATGAAATGAATTTCCCTTTGAGGGTAAACTCGGGAGAGCTCCGCCGGAAGAAAAGATCGAGCGGATTGAGTGATCGCCAGAAGCGTGGGGGAGGGGGTCGCGTGGTTCTCAAATGTATTTAGCAGATCGAATGATGGATGCTGATTTGATTTTTATACGTATGTCAAGTGTTTCGCATTGTCGGCTTGGAGTCCTGTCGTAAAAAACTCAGAAAAGCCCGCGGAGAACATCGGCTGAGACACGCAAGGACTTCTCGGGGATCATTTCACAAAAGAGCCGAGCGGGATTCTCCTCCCGAGGAGGAGTGTGGGGGGGGAGGGATGAGAAGAAGAACGGCAGCGATAGAAGAGGTAAGATGAAGGGTTAGCATCATCGACGTCGTCGCGTCAAAAAAAAGCTCAGCGAAAAAAGCAGCATGGAGAGTCAGTCAGTGATTTTTCTTTGATGCACTCGTCTTGATTTTTCCCCCTCTGCTAAGTAATTCTTTGTTGCAATGCGCGCACGAACTTCCGTTCGATAATCAGTCACTCTAATTGTTTACAAGGGCTGCGCAGCCAGCAGGAGTCCGGACTCCAAACGCTAGCGTTTTTATGCTCCTCGAAGCCTTTTCTTCCCTCAGTTCGTTGCCTCGCGAGCTATTGTCCTCTGGTTCACCACTCTTCAAGCAATCCGGGAACTTTTTAACGGGCACAACAGCCACAAGGCAATTAGCAAGAGAAAGTAACTTTTCCGAGACTTGCTCGTCTGAAACCTTCGTTCGCTCGCCTCCCCTGCTGAACTTGTCCGTTACCTTCCGCTTGCCCACTCACTCGGTCTGCCGAGCTCGTTCCATCGCCTGGACAACTCTTTTCCGCTGGGAGTTGCTCGCGCCCGACTAAGCGGCGGAACGGCTGTCCGAGAGGAGCAGGAGTTCGCACGAATAATGCGGAAGCTCGGACATCTCTCGGCAAGTTTTCCTTCGACACCGCACAGAGACTCGTTGAGCATGGGATCGCCGCGATACGCGCTAGCATTCGGGGCCGAAGCTCTCGAAACGGTCGAAACGGACCCCCAGCTCGTCGTCGAGAGCGAGGCCGCGTGGCCAACCGACGAACAAATGAATGAGGTGGACAAGGGTTTCATGGCGCGTGAAGCTCAAGATTGTCGTTGTCTTTGTTCTAAGTCTTATTGAAATCTGTGCCACTCGGTTGCATAGCCGATGGATGCAGCGGCGAAGATTTAATTAAAAGAGACCAGGGACGTTCAGGGCAGGACAAACAGGGATCGGTGGGGGACATTACGCTGAGGGGCCCGGACGATGGGGGAGCATCGGCTGAGGGCAGGAGGTGCGTAAATAAAACTAGATGCGAATTTCATCCATCAAGCCGAGACACTCCTGGGATCCGATGTCCAGAGCCGTTCCATTAGATGCAGCCTGCTTGCAGTTAGCTCGCCATACCCCTTGCCATGCTGCTTGCCATCCAGTGAACATCCAACATTCTATCCCAACGGACAAGACAACAATTAATGCTCTTATCAGCGGGCATTGTTGTCGCGCAGTTGTTCAGGACTACCGAGCGGCACCGAATCCTCGGCTGCTTCTGTTGAACCCTGAAGCCTTTGATCGTTGCTCGGTGATGTGCCGCCGGCGCCGCCCCCTCGTCCCTCAGGCCGTCGTCGCTCGACCCGACAGGCAGGCTCTTTTTTCGGAGCTGTCTTTTTTACACTCTCTCCCCGACTCTCAGTCCAGGAAGGCGAGCGGGAAAGCCGCCCAATAACTGCCAGTATAAGATGAACAATTATCGCCGGCAATTAACTCGACAGCCGAGCGAGGAGACGCGATGAGGACAAATTAAAAGGAAAACGCTTTCTCAAATCTAACTCTCATTTGCTGACTTTTTACTTCGGCTGTCGTTCTCGAACGGAGGTCCCTCCCGCGAGAGGGAATCAGCCCGTAAAATTGGAAAAGAGTTCTTCGCCGGAACCGCTGCGGGAATCGGACTGAATTTATATTTCGATCGAGTCCGCCACGGGGGGAGTGTTTAATGAAATATCCACGGGTTTTCCGAGCCGCTCGATTGGACGTCGATGCATGGGCCGGCGGATCCAGTTCGGCGATACATTTCCGATCGGGAGGCCGAGCGGAGACCGCCGCTCGCTCCTCAAGATCGCAGCGAGCGGGAAATCACTACGCAATGAATCGACCAGCCTAGAAAACTCGCAAACTTCGCAGCTGGATTGAGAAGCAATCGATCCGGCTGCGTGCCGTGGGAGACTCGCGGGCAGAACGTTCCTAACCTCTCGACTAGCAGTCGATTCATTGGAGGTGAACTATGAATCTTCTCTCGTATTCCAGCGCTCCCAGCGTAATTCCCGTTATACATAGCGATACCGATAACGCGAGACCAGAGCCTTCCAGGGCTTCGGCCCGGAGAGCCTCGAGCGAAAGATCGATCACGTACCTTGCGTCAAGGAACCTCGACCGTAGGATCATGACGGCCTCGCAGGTACTCTGCTTGAGTTGGACTTGGATGGAGTTGAATTTCTTGTGGATTATCTGAACCATCCTTTCGATTTCCTTTTGAGTTATTGGGCGCGTTCGACTCTGCTCCCGTAGGAGATTCGTCACGTGGGTGGTGAACTCATTGCACGCCTGGAATGAAGAAAATGCAGCAGGTTAGTTCTGTCATTCCAGCAACTCGAATCATTTCTCCACAGAGAGGAGCGTCCGAGGAGGAACCCGTGTTCTTATTCTCTTTGGAAATTCCCGGCAAGATTTCGACCCCGGGTCTCACGATACGTTGGAAATTATCGTCCGGGAGTCTTCCCTCCCCTTACACTGACTACCGCTGGATCATTATCGAGAACAAGCGGAGACCATGAACTCGACACTCGACGACCCCCACTCAGTGACATTACCGAGCGCTACGCAGTTGGAGGGGAATGAGGAAACATAACGGAAGGATACATGTCGTTGGTGACCTCAAGAGTTCCATTCCACTTTGGCCCTCTTGCTATTTCTTCGTCGCTCGAGTATGATAGCGAGCCGGCGCATGCCGGCGGGGGAGATAGCGACTATTAGGATAGGTTCCTCACTCTTCTCCTCGTCGTAGCAGTCGCCGCCGCCGCCGCCGCCGCTGACCGGGCAACCATCTACTCTTTTCGTCTACTCTCTACTATTAGCCTAAAATGGATCGCGCGCGCTTGCTGCCCGCCCGGGGCGAGTATTTCTCCCAGCCCGCTAGCCGGTTTGCCCCCGTCCCCGTTTGCTAGCAGGCAGTTTCCTAGCAGCTCTCATTCTATCATTAAGTGACGACCGAACTCGAGGACCTCTTCCTCCGGACAGGCAGAGCCGGTCCCCAATCCGGCCCGGCAGCATGCGATGGACCCACAGAAAGACAGGCAGCCGCTGAAGCACTCGGGCTAGAATTTGACGCCTCGAGGCTTCCGGGGATCACTTCAGCTGAGATTCTTAATACGCTTTAGGGCTCGAACTCATCGCGATGGCTGCCCTTGTAGGCGCTTCCGCAAATTTCAATTTCGTCGGAATTCGATCTACGAAGTGATACGGCGGCGCGGCGGTTCGCGGTGTCTTTCACGAGGGACTTGACGTCATACTTTCCGGGTGGGGGGTACGAGGTGGGAATTTCAGAGGAAGCCGAAAGAATCGATACGTAGGATCAGCATCTTCGCCGAAGGGGTGGGTACAAGAACAACCAATATGAGGTTGCCGTCGCGAAATCCCAGTGTGTTTATTCTTCGCGCAGCCGCAAGGAATAGACGGTAGAAGGAGAGCTCGTCGGCCAGGAGATCTATGAGACGACTATGTTCCCCTTTTCAAGTTGTACCGGAGTAATCCCCTTGTCAGATAATTTTGCTTTCGGCCATGAGCCGACGAGGGAAACGGGACCGTTGGCGAGGTTCCAGCGGCGGAGAAGACAAGACTCGGGGATTTGGTCGGAAGCTCCTCTGTTAATAGAAAACTGCATATACCTCACGGGAATGAAATGAGAAGGAGATGGGGATTTATAAAATAGACGCGCGATGGAGGCTCCGCCGCAAGGAAATTGACTCTGTAACTAAGGAATCGAGCAGCTAACCGTGCCGTTGTCGAGGGGGAATGCTCAGCTGGCGACGGAAGTTGTGACGCGGGCAACGGCGTAGGAGGGGCCACTGTCACACGGCTAATACCTATAACATACACCGCAACCAAACGTAGGTCCGGGCAGAGCGGTGTTCGAACCGGAGCGGGAGCTCTCTCAACTAGAAGTAGGAGACGGAGGAGGAGACGACGGCAGTGCCGGCGGCAGCAATGGTAACGGCTGGTTTCGCCCTAGATCATCCTCGTGACTTTGGACAGAGGACATTACGACCACCTGGACACACACTCCCACAAACACACACACCGTGGACACGGAGACTCGGTGGCCAGTTATAGCAATATTCCGAGTCACCCACCCACCAACGAGTGGTTGCTAGTGGGGGGAGGGGGGCAGACCGTGAGAGAGGGGGAAATCGGCGACCACCGGTCCGGCGGATCGTTTTACCACGCAGTCTTATTGTGACCAGTTGGAAGTAGTCAAGGAGAGTTTATTAAACTTCTAAATTATGCTGCGAGACCATCTGCGCAAGCTGACGACGCGACGACTCGGCTCCACGTCTCGAGCCCGGGCTGGACCGATTGGGCGAGAGGCTTCGGGCCGCGGTTCACGTGGCTAGCTAGCTAGCTATAAGCCTAGTTCACCCGAAGGAGAACTCGATGGGCTGATCGAGAGCGTAGGGAAGCTCCCTCGAAGATTAGGTTTGCGGTCTGGCGGGGATAATTCGAGACGTGGCGGGTGGTGGCATATCTGACCAAGGTGCTCAGGCCACGAGAGAAAAAAAACGAGTTCTGAGCCCGCGGTCACCGGATCGGCAGGTCGGAAGCCGTGCACGTTGCAGTCTGGTCGAGTAATTTGCAACGGCTGTATCTTCCCTGTACCGCTGTGACTGATGTTGCTCTCAGTCGGTCGAAATGTTCTTATGAATGGAAGGATGCTCTCGGAGCGGCGTTCGCCCTCTATGATGTGTAACATTCCCTCAATGCTGCTGCTGATGATGATGACGACCATGATGATGTGCAAGAGAGCGATGGCTGGCCACTAACAAACCTTCTACTCTTTCACTCGCGTGCGCACGCCGCCACGGCCGTCGTATGCTCTGCGAGCACTCCTCTGGGATGCTGGAGGCGTTTTTGTTTGCTGACTGAATGCTGCCCGCCCGTGGGGGCTGCTCGCTAGGGCAGCTCGCTAGGGCAGCTCGCTAGGGTAGCTCGCTAGGGCGGCTCGCGAGGGCTGCTCGCAAGGGCTGCTCGTCCGCGTTTTCGGCCTTCAGTCAGTCAGTCAGTCACTCGGACGGGCGAGCAGGCAGGCAGGCAGGCAGTCGAACAGTTGGAGATAAGACACAGACACACAGCTTGGGAAATGAACGGCGAAACAAAAACATTATACAGCTTGAAACCACCTGCTCCGCGCGAGCTTTCCCTCGCTATCTCCTCTCGTTGTTGTTGTTGCAAGCCGTCTTGTATTGGTTTTTGCAGCCAGTGTGATGCTCTCCAGCGACGTGTGCGCCCGCCTTCACCTACCGGTAAGCTAACGACCGGCCAACCGACCAACCAACAAACCGAGCATTGTATGTACATGCGACCGACAGGGCAACCCGCATAAGACATAAACCATGCCTGAAGATTGCTCCATGGCCAGGGTCGAACGGAACGGCCGCGTCGGTACACCTTGGAGCCTCACGGATTCATCTCGGACAGGAGGGCTTCCTCAACGCTGGAGCCAACGCGTTCTATCGGGGCTCGAACGACCTGGGGTTCGGGCTCCCGCAGAAAGACTTTCGACCGACGGCTTGGCAGATTCTTCGGCGACTATTCGGGGAAATGCAGTGAGACGGAGCATTGTACACACAAAACATTCGCGGTCGTATATTGTTTTGTCGATTTGCCACTTGACAGCGTGGATCTGCATCACAACTGCCCCCAGAAGGGCTGTCGCGGCCCGCGGCGACAACAACAACAGACCGCCGATAGCAACAGCCACCAGTTCGGCGGCGGGCGTGGGCAGAGAGGGAAAAAAAACTCAGCAACAAACGGACTTTCGTTTTATTGTCCTTTTTCCCATTCTCGCTCTCTCTCTCGAGAGATTCCCGCGCCCCGCAGAAAAAAAACCTCCGCTGATTTCAATTGGCGTTGAAAGCGAGATGGGTGCCAGCGGCGGGGATGTCGTTATGTTCTCAAATGCCCACTACAATAAAAATAACTTATAGCCATCCCACACTCACTGACTGACGAACGGGCGGCCGAATGGGACGAAGGATGGATGCAGCAGCCAACGACGGACGAATCTGTCCTCCGTTCGCCGGTCCTTTATGTCAGATTGCCGGGGTGGACGCTCCGACAAGAGTCCCGCCGTTCAATGGTACTCGTTTTAGGTCGGCTATCCTCAGTCGCTCGGTTTGTTCGTTCGAGGCGTTTTCGAATCACCGCCGAAATTCGATCAACTAAATTGGATTTCTGCAACAGGTCCGAGATCGCGATTGACCGCTCTGAGGAGCACTCTTTGCCTTCGACCCTTGACACCTCGACCGTCCTCGGATCGCTTCAATTTCCGGACGGGGCGACGACATTTCGCTAGGTATGTAATTCTAGCTCCGAGGAATCGGTAGCGATGCTCCCACGCGAGTTGAAACCCCTCGCATACTCCGCTGGCCGAGACGTCTCCAGTCGGCGCCGAGGGTCTCGTCAACAGCGGATAAGGGAAACGATGACGCCCACCAAGCAGCGAACTGGCCCCCGACGGGCGAACCTGTACCGGTTTCAGGAGCGGCACCCTCAGTTGCTCCTGACTCAGTCCTCCTTCGGACGGCCGAATGTCGCTGCCGTCGCCTCCTATTCCTTTGGATCTTCGACGCCATTCCCCTGAGTAAACAAAGGGATTGGCAGTACGCGACAAAGGAACAGTCAAGACAAAAGGTCACACACACAATAGGCCACGGTTAGGCGTACCCAAACGACGTGTCCTTAATATTATCTCTAGACGCTCCTCGCTTCACCCTCCTGGTCACTGCCTAGTCGGCGAAGATTATCCCGGGGAAGGAGAGTCAAAGACACCATGCAACTCTGTCCCCTTGCTCAATCTTTCGCTGCACCAGCAGTGTTCCCCACATTCTCTCGCCCCCGTCTTCTGTGGGCGCAGGTCAACGGGAGTCACGGGGCACAGCGGAAAGGAGACCCAAAAAAAGAAGACAATCGCTAAATGGATGTCCGATAATCTCCGTATCGTTCGGCGGGACAGACAAGGAGTTCGAGTCGATCTACCGATCGCTTCACCGTCGACGGTTGGTATGAATCGAGCGTCAGACCGACCGACCGACCGATGGATGGAGGCAAAGTCTTACCACGTAGGCGCTACCGGCCGCTATCGCAAAGCGGGGAGCGAGCTAGGGAGGCGACTAGTCCGGGAGACAACCGAAAGGACGCACAGGAGAAGGGTTGCATTCATCGTGGCGGGTAAACAAAAGCCTTCGATATATGAGCGACGAGATAACAGGATAATGCACAGTAGACAGATGAAGCCCTATTATTAAGCGCAACTTAACCCTACCGAGCTA